CCAGGCTGCAGCGAGAGGGGCGACCCCCGAAAGTTGCGCGGAGGCGAGGTGAGTGCGCCTGTTCCGCGGCTCGGCAGCCCCGCCGGGGAAGGGGAACGGGCGGGAGGGGGCCGAAGTTTGGGGGGAGGCTGGCCGTGCGGGGGGGCAGCGTGGCTTCTCCCCTCCTTCTCCTCCTCCTCCCAAGCACGGCAGCTGTTGCGCGGGGTCAGGCGGGGGGCTGCACCCCCGCCCCCGGAGCTCCGCGGGCTGTGCAGGCGCGCTTAGCGCGTATTCCTCAAAGTGGGAAATACGCGCGTTGCGTAACGGGGAGTGCGCGGCGGGCGCCCCGGAGCGCGTGTGTCCGTGCGCGCCCGCCCGCTCCGCTCCGCGCCGCCTCGGTCCCGCGGGTTCGGGAGGGATGCGAACTCCGGTAACAGTTTCTAGGATCGCTAAGGCGCGGCGTGCGGAGACGCTGGCTGTCATGAAAGAGGCTAAGTGTGAAACCGTGCCTCTCCTTTTGTGGAGCGGGCTATTTTGGTCGTGCAGCGGGTGTCTTGCTTAAATCGCTTCAGTTGCCGTGAGATCATTGTGCCCTTGTTATTGGAGCTCCGGAGTAAACCCCGGGTTTCAGTCTTTACTAATAAACGTGTGGCAGGGACGACATCTGATTAGAAATACTCCTCAAGATGTTGGAAAGATTGGGAAATTACGGCGTTCCAGTTTGCTCTTGTTGAAGCCGTGTCAGTGTTTTCGTGATGAAAGCCCGTTTTCAGAGACTTTGGAACTGTCGCTAAACTTGTGCATATTTTAATTTTTTTTTCTTCTGAGTAGCTGAAAACAAGTTGGGTTTTTGTTTGGTTTTTGTGGGTTTTTTTTTTTTTTTTTTTGAGCTGGGAATTGTCTGAGATTCTGCCGTAGCTGGTGGAATGCTCGGCAGTTTGGGGAGGGTAGTGATGCTTGGGTAAATTGACTTTTTCAGGTATGTAAATACTGAAATTTGAGATAATTGCTGAGATGAGATGGGTAGAATAAAACGATAAGGTTGTTTGTTAGGCTTTTGCTGCAACAGCCCTATAGACAACAGCTTTAAACCTCTGTTCTAGGAGCTTTACATCTGACAAATAGAAATAAAATTCCACCTCACATGTGGGTTTGCTCTTTTAAAAGCCTTGTTGCCTTTTGTGTCCTCCCGCCTGCCCCCTGTCACTGGGATCTGGGCAGCTGTGCAGCAAAATGGATCGGCGTTGTGCTTCCCTGCCGTGTACTGAACCTGAGTTTTCAGCGTTGCTTTTCACATTTGACCCTTCAGCTTCAAAGGCTGCTCTGAAGGTGCTCTACAAGGAATGGAAGGAAGCCGTGACTAATTGGAAAAGTAGAGAACTGAAAAATCAGGATCATAGGTCTAGTTTTCTTGTTAGTTTCCTCTGTAACGCCGGGCGAGCCACTCTAACAGATGTACGCCAGTACACAGCTGCCGAGTGGGCAAGAAAGGTCCCTAGTGATTTTGGAGAGAGGGTGGTTCTCAAGATATTTAAGGACCTTTTGCAGAAATGCTCCAAAGAAGCAGAGTGTGCATTTCTGGGCAATGCTGGGCAACTCTACTGTGAAACTTGAGGTTGAGCAGCTACATTTTTTTTTAAACTTTTACCATTGTGGAGAGTAGATGGGGAAGATGCACGCAGTGAATAGATGACTAATGCACATGCTGACAGATCTGTTCATCAACAGCAGTTGTTTATGCTCAGGTATCTCACACTGGGAAACAGTTCTAGGACAGGTACTCCTGGTCTTTTTCTGACCCAGAGGCACATCTGGGGCACCTCTTGGGGTAATGTGCATGCTGGCAGATTGCTCTGGTGATGTAGGTGGGATGCCTTCCTCTCTTTTCCTCTTGGCTTTCAGTCATTAATTTTGCAGCAAGAAAACATTGGCTGTTTGCTCTTTTGTATTGGGCAGGAAGGGAAGTTAGGCATAAAACCTGAGTTTATGAGGAGATTTTGGTAAATCTTTGACATTGGAGTAGTCTTCAGATACTAATTGAAATAATAAAGCCTCCATAATATATAACAATCTTACATATCTCTTTCTGCAAGTGCACAGTAAAAGACAAAGAGAGCTGAAAATAAAACCCTGTGTAGATGATGTGTAGTGTGGAATATGTGACAGAAGTTGCTTGCCTTTGCTTATTTTAAAACTTTTGTTGCTTGATTTTTCAGTCTGAAGTGCCATTTTTTCTTAATGAGGCTGCAGTGTGATTGCCAATTATTTTCTTTTAGGTTTTCTCTGAAGGTGTAGTGTAAAAAAAAATCAGTGGGTTTTTTTTTTTTTTTCTTCTTCAAAGAATAGAAATAGATGTTTTGTCATTTTGTGCCTGTGACATTCTTTTTGGGTAGGGCTTCACATATGCACAGATAAAGAGACTTCTCAGACCATATCAAAGAGAGGTTTATGGGACTAAGCTGAAAAATGAGATGTGTAGCATTAATATATGCAAAGTAATCTTTTCAGTAGTAATGGTGTTTTTATGTAATAAACTTGGTAAAATTGAATAGTATTTATTGTGTGACATGAACAGTGTCTCTTGTGGTTTTAATTTAGGTGGTATGAACATGGTTTATATATTCAAATCAAAATGTGTATGTCTTTTTACTCAAAGGAATACTTTGTGAATGGCTTCTTAGTTTACACTAAGAATGTACCTGCAGTGTTGAGCAGGTCTGACTTAGATTTGAAGGCACGCATGCTTCTTTCACCTCTGGGTCTGAATTTCCAGCTCAGTTCATTTTGGGTGTGATGCTTGTATATAAGGGTTTTCTGAGTTGAGCTGTTAGGGAAAATACATTCATTATTCCAGTGATGTGCTGAAGAAAATTCAGATTTAAACTTCATTCTTTCTCTGAGTTACTCCTGCTGCTTTCAGTGTTCCTGCCGACTACGGATGCTTTAAGAGAATGTGTAAAGAGTGTTGTTCTGATACTGCAGTTCTTTATTGATATTTGAGCAGGTGCCCAAATGATTTTGTTGTCGTAGATGAATGGGCAGTAGAGTTCTACTCCCAGTAACTCCTGCAGGATTTCCGGAATAGTGCTCAAAGTACTCATTCAGGTTGTTACAAAAAACGGTCATCATTCCTTTAAATTCAGCCAAAAGATACTAACCTTGGCAGCTGTCTGAATATTACACATTTATTTGAAGCTGGCATCAAGATGTAGGATGTATGAATATAGCCAGCTGAGTTGCAATGTGCTCATCTTGCTTTTTAGATAGGCAGAAACATCTTTGTAGTGAATTGAAAAGAGCACTGCATACTATGCCACTCTTAGACTATGAATTACAATTTTAAAGCAGGCAAGCAGAGGAATGTATACAAATGCTGCCTTTATGACCAGTGATGGACTTGCATCTTCTGAGTTACTAGAACTAATGATCAAAGAGCAACCACATGTTCAGAGCGGGCAAAAAAAAAAAAAAAAAAAGGAACGAGGGAATAAGTTCGGGAAAGCCCTTATGCTAAAAGTTTACATGTGTGGCAGAACTTTGATCTGTCAAAAATTGGGCTCAGAAGACTCCTCTGCTCGATTGTATTGATCTTCATGCAAAAGGAGCCGCAGCAATAGTCTGAAGAACACCACCTGTGCTGCACTGGCATCTCAGCAGATCAATAGATGGGTCCCTGTTTAGCTTGAAAAAGACTGTCTGTAAAAGCTCCTAATACAGTGGGGGCTGAACTGCCGCTCCTGTGTGTAACCCCTCAGCCCTTGCTGACTTCTATGCCTGCTCCCCCTTTGCTGTTTACACCTGCTGGTGCAAAACTGCCCTCTAAGCTGGGACATTTTGGATTCAGTACCTCAAAGGAGATGGAGAAGGAGGAGGTGTGGTGCAGGTGGTAGTTGTAGGGGCAAGAGACACAGGGACCTGAGCTATGCTTTTTTCAGGGACCTGAGCTATGCTTTTTTCTTCTTTTTAGTCTGAAAGGTAACCTAAAATGGTCAGATCCTCCCAGATTTATTCCTGAGACAGTATTTGCATACAACTGTCTCTGCTATCTCAGCTGAACAAGATGTTTGAAAAGGCATTAGGAACAAAAAACAAGGGAATTTCCAGTTTATCCCTGGTAAGAGTTGAAACAGAAGCCTGAAGCTTTTTTTCTTCCCCTCCTGAGTGTTGAAAACAAATCAGCACTGCTGTGATGGGTAGATGGGGTTTGGTGCACAGGTTCAAAAGGAGTCTCCCCACTAAGAAAAACAGGAACTGTTTGCTGCCTGTCACCACGCAGGGCTTCTGGGCTGTGGAGCAGCAATTTTGTTTTTTGAAAAGAGGAAAAGCAGCTTAAATAAACAAAATGACCCTTGAGACTTAATCACAGCTACTTATTATAGCTGACATTCACTGAGGGCTTTTTTAAATTTTTTTTTTTATTTTCTTTCTTAAGTGATCGCTTTAAAATTTAAACCTGTACTAGGAAAACAGGAACTGTAGGTGTGGAGGTGTTCCTTCACGCCGATTTGCATGCAGGCTGTTTTTTATTTAGCGGGTAGGTGTGTTCGGTGTGTGCGAGTGCAATTGAACATGTCAGCAGTTTCCTACGAGCCGCTCTTGCTGACTCACGTGTCTGGTGCAGCTTGGAGCTACCCTGGCTATAAACTATCCACAATAGGAGGCGCGGGCAGTGCCGAGCCGCTGTTCAAAGGTTATTTTCGGTTCTCCGGTCACTGCTTTGCTGTGGTTTTCTTCCCCAGCAACATCAAAACACACTGTCATTTTGCCAGGCTGCCATTCCTCTAGGTGCGGAGGGTAAAGTGGAAGTTCATTGTGCTGCTGCAGAGGCTGCGCTCCAAGTGCATTCTGATGCTAATGATCAGCAAGCTAAACCTCTGGGGTTTAGGTGTTTTTATTGGTGTTGGTTTTTTTTCTTTTGGTTTACATAGGGTTTTTTTTTTGTTGTTGTTTTGTTGGGGCTTTTTTTTTTTTTTTGTGGGGTGTTACCCAAAAGTCCCCCTGAGCATCATTCTGAATTTGGGTATGGCAAGTCTAGCCTATGAATTGTGTTTTCCCCTTCCAAATGCAAG